GACACAGCTTGTTACAAGTTTCACAGATCCGTATGTTGTCTGAGTTGGAGTCCAAGTTTACAGCATGCTGCTTTCTTCTTTCGCGTTTTCCTTCTGTCCTCTGGATCAAAGCCACTTCATGTTGAGCTGCACCAAGTGCCAGATGTTCCCTCCAGATCAGATGGGATTCTGCGTGCTTCTCCCAGCTTTCTATATTGATGTTGATCAACTTCTATAATTTTTCTACACGCTGTGTAATTCTTTTTAAAGGCGATGTAACCAGTATCTTCAGTAAATGTTTACTCTACCTTACTTTCTGACTGAATCATTCATTGGAAATGGGCATTGTCCCCAGGAAATACTCAGACATGCAAACAGAGCCATTACATGATATAAAAACATTACACACATACAAAACAATGCACCATTGATCAATCAAATAGGTAATTACCCCAGGCAACATCATGTCACAGGTCAATAAATGCTATTGTGGACGGCTCCCAGGAAAAGAGAAGTTAGCTTAATTCCTCCCTATTAAAGGATGCTTTTTGGGACAGGAAGTGCCCAATAACTTACCATTTTTACCCCCGGACAAGGTGTTACTGCTACTGGAACTAGTCAGTATACATGGCCAAATATCCATACTATGAATCCAGATTCACACTAGCTCACTTCCACATACTCCTTTGAAGTTACCCTGGAGATGTGTTTGTCCCAGTGAGCTCTAATTAAATTAAAATTGAATTACAATGACACTTAGGAGGTGCCCCTGAATTCCTTTGTCACCAACTGGTATTTAAATTTATGGCACTTTATTAGGCAGTATATCACGATGGCATTTTAATTTATTAACTAACATGAAAAGTGATATGGAAGCATAAGACAGTAATTCCAAATAGGCTAGTGTGATGTACTAATAAAGTATTTTAAAATATATTTGACCATCTGCAAATATTTAAAAATAGTATTATTTATTACTGTCATCCCATTCTTTATTATATCATTAAAATTAAAATATATAACATGCACACATTACAAATTATTATTTATTATAAAACAGCTTTATTCACTCAGACCCTATTAGGCAAGGCATCACATTGTCTTTTAACAAGGAGATGACCTATTTTCACTGCTTATTTCAAAGCAAATGCAGATTGCATTCAAGTTGTTTTTTCCCCAAATGTTAGCACTTTTAAAAGGTTCGCAGCCATGGTGTTTGCAGTCTATCTAGATTCCTGACCTGGCCCTTCTCCTGGTAGAATCTAAGGACCTGTAATGTATTCATCTATGTCAGTGTTTCTCAACCTGTGGGTTACAAAAGTGGGTCACAAGAATATATGTAAGGGTTGTGAACAAACTTAAAAAAATGGATCAACAAACTTTAAACATGGATTCTGTGTTAAAGGAGAAAAATGGGAAACTCTGTTTTTTTTACTTGCAGGCTGTCAGAGTTCCAGTCTGTCCAGGGCTGCTTAAAAAAAAAAAAGGTTGAGAATCACTGATCTGTGTCACACCCTGGGAGGTTTTATTCTATTTTTCAGCAGAACAGAGAGACTACATGACTTAGGATATCTACAGCAGAGCAGAAATGGAACCCAGATCTTCAGAGTCTCCGATCAGGTTCTTAACTACAAGGCCACCTCTCTTTTCCTAGTTGTATACCAAGCAATGGCAATACAAGCTTCTCCTATGCTGCCCTGTCAAAGCCTGTTCATAAAGAGATCATCTCTCTGCATAAGTGGGTTTTAAAACAGTCTTAAAGTCCATGAAAGTCACAATCCTACAAGGTGCTTAGCAGCTGCTCAAAGGGGATGACTGTCCACAAACCACACTGAAGTCAACAGTATTTGGATGTTCCACATCTAACAAAACCTGCCCTTGGTATATACTAAACAATGGATTTAGATAATCAAACTAAAAACCAGGTCCTTCAAGGAGCTGAGCTCTTCCTGTGATGTGCTGAGCACTCTTAACTCCCCTGGAACCTTTCTTCCAATGTGAGCTGGATCTTGAGCTACACTTGATGGTCTACTTATCCCATTACCAGTTTGAGTCATCTAGTAGCATTCACATTTCAAATTAACCTGAAGCATTTGTTCCCATTATGGGTCTCTGATTCACTCTGTGATGTACTCAGGTTGCGGCTGTGCAAGATGTTGCCCAGAGTTACCGCACTGGCAGAAGATGTAACTGGGTGTGAGAGTGGGGTACTCAGGATACCTAGACAGAATTAACATGATCTTTCAAAATGCTGATAATTATATAACTCTTCCTATTCCTCTCAGAAGAATAGGGAGAACAGAGGCTGCAAATATGCAAACAGAAGATTTGTATCCTCAGTGTGACTGTTCATTTTAACATACAAATCATTTTATGAGACATCTGGTTTTAGGATCACATTCTCCACTGCCTTGCACACTGTGTAGTCTCTTAGAACAGTATGACCTGAGTGCAGAATAGCTACACAGCATTCAAAGCAGTGCATATTGGAGCCCTGACTCTTATACCCCACCAATTTTACTCCACTGACTGCTCCTCCTGACTGGGAAAAGAACTGCGTATTGAGTAAAGTTATTGTGTTATACTGTGTGGATAGAAACTGAAATGCCATATTCAACTAACCATGACCTCTGGTTTCAATTACATTTAAAATAAATATTTTAATGCAAAAAAATTATCTTAAATATATAAAAAACTACATGTAAGTGTATATACAATAATTCAGGATGTATGTCATTGTTCAGCTCTCCTATCATGCAGGACAGCCCTCATTTAAGCATCCTATTGTACAGACCAGATGTTAATGTTTCCAAAGTTTAAAGATAAGATCAAGTTTTTGTTTTCCTAGTGGTACATGTTTTCCAGCTGGAACAAATTCTACGGCCTGAAAGTGTAGCTGATGAACTGCTCTACTCTGTGTAGTTACAAGTGACATAATAGAAGTGCTGAAGAAGTAGCTTTAGTTTCACAAAATAATAAAAGATTACATTAAGGTCCCAATTCAGGGAAGCACTTAAACATATGCTTGGTGTTAAACATATGTTTAGGTCTGGTTTACTTAAGTAGGACTTAAGCATATCAGCTCTTTGCTGAAAAAGAAGTTATTTGTGTGCTTAAAGATGCACATCCACTTACATACTCTGCTACATCCATATCTACTTGATCAAATAACCCTTCTTTTTCCCTCCAATGCAAAACTTTTTTTTCCATCTTATCTGGGCAAAGCACCAAAGAAATGGACCACACAGCCAGGACTTTCAGATTTGTAATTAAATGTTTTAACGTGTCCAATAATGGAATGCCATTTACATATTTAAAGTGAGAATCAAAGCCCCAGTCACTGGCTTGGAGGCGATATATTTGTGTTAGAGCATGACTGTGGTAGGCAAATGTGTCAAGGCTCTTTTCAACAGTCACTATGTTGCTTTCCCAACCTGAACATCCCACTCTAAAACCAATGCAACCTCTCCACAAGTAGATGTTGACCCTTAAAGATTGGTTTTCCTCCTCCGGTGAAGGAGAAATCAGTGAGATGGAGTCTGAGTATGTTCTAAGCATTGCTTGTTTTATTTACAGCCATGCACCAGCAGGCAGGCAACCCCTTTGTCTGGGGAAGTTGTTTAGCACCAGTTCCCAGGAGCCACTCTCCCTGTAGGCTAAGGGAAGAAGTTACACATAAACTGGTGTAAGGAAGGGATCGGAAACCAGTTCAAATCTATAACACAACAGAAGTTCAGTGCACATAAACCACTTTCAAAATGGACATAACTAGTTTAAGATCAAGCTGGATCAGACTTAACTGATTTAGGTGAAACCAATTTATTGATCTTCTGTCTCAGATCCCCTCCAGATTCAAGTTAACTCACAGTTCCCAAGCCTCCCAGGATGCTTTGCACCTCCCTTGCAAACCCTGTGTCTCAGGGTGGGCGGGTTAGTTTTAGCCCAAGCTGTCTGCTCCAGCTGAGCAGGAAGGTGTGTTTTAGCACCCCCCCCCACCCCCCCCAGCTTCTGGTCTGGATCACTCCAGGTATGCAGCTGCATTTCCAGAATCAAAAGTGAATGTCTGTTCACTCGCTTATCAGTTCAGTCTACGAAGCTTAGACTAACCCACGAAGATTGAATTGATTCAGCCTCGGGCTTTCTGATTGTCTGTACTTAGCCCTACTAGAGTTTGATCAAATTAGAGACCATACAGAGAACAAAATCTGCTGTTTGCCCAACCTCCTGTCTAAGACTCATCACCTCTGTGTAGAATTAACAGAGCAAACAGACACAACATCATCCCAAGACACTGCACAAGATCCCATTTGCTTGTGTATCATCCTGCTCCTAGGAGCTAAAAGACACAGCGGTGTTGGCCAAGGCTCTACTAGGACCATCAGTCTGTACATGCCACCCAGTCACCACTAGAAAAGGACAGAGCACTATACTGGAAGCTCTGGGTTACCTATTTCCACTGGCTGAGGAAGCTCACCTCACATTCCAGTGGTCTCATTCCCATGTTTAATACAGGAGAGGCTCAGGCTCATGCTTTTAGATTTAGAGGTTCCCAGCGCACTCCTCACTGCCAATAACCTATGCAGGGATTTTGCATTACGCTCACAGGCTGAGCACCTCAAAAACTATGGTGCACCCTAGCATTATCTCTGGATGGATCTGGGTGCAATATTTATTTATGAGACATTGTTATATTTTCCTGGCTGTAGAGTGAGAATGCAGATCAAGGAGCACTATGGCTGCAGTGATCACTGTCTAAAATATTTATTTGAAACACCACAAGCTTGTTCCCTCTCCTCACCAACAGTTCTGCCTGTTACTATCACAGTTCTGCAGCACTGGACTAGTGCCTGAGAAAGAGAGAAACCCCCTACAGATAAAAAACAAAATGTAACTTAGAGATCTCATCCCAGCGTTTGACACTGCACGGCTCACAAAAGCAGTTTTTGCCCTTTCCTACTGCCAGAACACTCCCAACATGCCCTGTGGGAAGGGGGCTCTTCAGGGGGAGGTGCACAACTTACAGAGCCAGTTCTGCAGCCAGCGGTGACAGCACTCTGCAAAAGCACTCTGCAGCTGTAGGAGCAAGAACTGTGCAAGCCCGGACTGGGCACAGGCTGTATGTTATCTTCCTGCAAAATGCAAATAGATGACATTGGGATGTTGACACACAGGCAGTTATAAGCATGTTGAATGAAGCCACCATCTTTGCAGGGAGGTCTTAGAGCCCACTTGCAAATCAATTTGGCTGCTTTATCATCTGGGTGTCCAACCTGAAGGCACCAGGGCTCCGATTTCCAGAGATGCCTGGCATTTGCTTCCCTTGGCTACAGCTGGAGTGGTGGGTGCTCAACATCTGTGAAAAAGGTTGCTCAGCTGAAAATAAAGAGTGATATAGTTTGCAAGAGTGCCAGTTAGACAAGCATAAGCGGAATGCCCTGCATTAACATAAGGTACAAATATACTGCGGTCTGAGGCAGGAGTGACCACTGCACAGGGCTGTTGTGAGCTTTATTCATGGGTGTGCGCTACCATTAGAACCAAGTTCAGAATTTCACAGCTGAGACTCACTTAAGGCTCACACTTGCTCAATAGAAGTTTCCCCTGTGTGTCTGAGTCCAGCTTTCAAGAATTATTAATGTGCTTATCTTGGGATAAATCTTGTCATTCTCAATTTTCATGTTTGTCATTGCTGCAGTCAGAGTATTACCTGGGGAAGAGATAGGAAGCACAAGAGTTGGCTTATTCTTGAATGCAGTGAACCTCTAAAATCAATTGGGCAACAACAATGGCTTTATGTGTCAGCCCAGGGGTGGGTGTGTGTGAGAGAGAGAGACAAGGTTCCTTGGGTGAATTTGATATCTTTTATTAGACCAACCCAAATAGTTGGAGAATAGTTATTGAGCAAGCTTTCGAGTTCAAAAACCCTTCGTCAGGCTAAGGAAGTTTCAGCAGTTGGTGTGTGCGCTTCCTGGATGGAATCCAGGATGAGAGAGAGCGACGCATGATGCCAGGGTTATATACATGCCACTGTGTGTCTGTGAGTGTGCATGTACATGTGCACCTGTATCATTTCTTTGCCTTCTGCTTGAACTTAAATTTGATATTGCGTTGTACAAAATATAAAGGGCCTAGCACTGTAAATTCCTGCCTGCTTCAGTTAAGTGCCAGCCCAGCAAACATTTACCAGGTCAAGGTTTCCTATTGGGCTGTAGCTGGTGCTGATTTTATGTGGGGAGATAGTGAGTGTGTACTGAATAACTCTCTCCTTTGACAGTGCTCCTCTGGGTCTCACTCCTACCTGTCAGTTAAATGCCTCCGCAACAGCATTTTCACCAAATAACCTCCCACTTCTTTCCTTGCTCGTTGTTTTGTAATCCCTGAACTTGCACCTCTTCTTCCTCCTCCCACATACTCTATCATGGCAAATAGGCCAGGTGCAGCCTCTGCATATGTCACCATCTCCGTTGTACTTCCACTGAGGTCCCATCCAGTCCTTTACTATCTCTCAGCTTGAATGCTGCCCCCACTTACCACCCCCTGCAAAAACTAGCATGTTGCTGCCTGTCTTATCTGCACACCGAAGCACAACCAAATCATCTCCTTCTCAAGGACCTTGAGCCTGGTTATTTCAGAATCTATCTCCTTTTGTGCTTTTAAAATCCTTCAGACCCACTGCCAGACTCAGAGATTAAGTTGCCTCTGCTCCCACCCCACCATTAAGTACTGGCCTCCTCTCTGCCTTTTGTTGCCTCTTGCTACTGCCGCTACCACAGTTCTCTCCTCCACAGGTCCTGCCTTTGAGAGCTGCTTTTTTGTACCACTGCCTCACTGACAGGCTTAGCATAGGCCTCTGGTCAAAACGCTCCAGAGAGACAACCCCTTCAAATGCACCAGCTCAGTGTATCATGTCAGCTTCCTTTAGAAATAAGATCAGGGTCTGTGCAGAGCTACCATGTGGCCCCATGAGGCAGCTCATCCCTGTTCCTTCTCTGTGATAGCTTTACCCATGTCACTTTGAGTAGCATGCTGAGACTGAAGGCCCCATTGATCCTTATACTAGCACGAGGGCTGAAAGAACACAGCATGGGCCTCCCTCTCCTGTGGCTGTTAGGAGGTCAATTCAGCCCTGGTCCAGACCCTTTTGACTTTGTCCCTTTGTGCTTTGTGGTAGCAAGGGCATAGGGAACATGGACACATCATCCCTTGCAAAATCCTGAAGGGTGGGGGCAGCCAATGGCAGGGGGGTTCCCCAGGAGGGGGGTTTAAAACCCTTTTGTGCCAACACAGACAATGCCAAGTGCACTTGGTATGAAGGCCAGTGGGTTTGTATGGGTGCCTTTGAAGCCAGAATCTGACCTGCAGAACCTTTCTGAAAGCTCTTCAAACTAGCTCATTTCAACCCTAAAGGAGACCCTAGACAGGTGACACAGCTGGCACTTACCTGTCGATTGCACCATCCATCTCTCCCAGGAAGGGGATCCTGTCTGTATGCAGCAGAGTCAAGTGTACACTGCCAATGTCACAGGAAGGTTGCACGAGCTGGTATCTGGATTCCAATGCACCTGGCAGTTGCACAAAGCTCTAAAAGGCTGAAATTTGATCTGAGTACAATGGGGAAGTCAATACTCCTCCTTTTGCAGAAGCATTTATGAATTACAACATACACTGCCCAGGCGGGGGAATAGTTTATGGTGCAAGCTTGATAAAATACAGTTACTCTAAAAGATACAGTGGCACTATTTTAAATTCTGTTCGCACAGACATGACACTAGAAATCCTTGACATCAGATGCTACAGACAACAGCTAAGGTATTTGCTATCAGCTTTCTAACAGTGGGGAAAAGCAAAGCAGAGAAGAAACAGCAAGCATCTGGCCCTTTCACTTACTAAATGAATCATTCCTTTTCAATTTAAGAGTGAATTTAGGGCTCCTGAAAGAGAAGAGCTGATAACATGGGATTAAACCAGGCAATCACTCTGCAAGTTTCCCCACACACAGCTCTGCTGAGGGCATCTCAGCCGCAGCCTGCAGTACCTTTCTGCTCTTGTCTAGAGCAGCAACAGGTGACTCTCAGGTAGGAGACCTACATGGGCGATATCCTTTGTTAGCCAAAGAAGG